CTGAACACTCTACTTCCATAGTTGATCTAGCTATGCACGATTGTTTGTTTGATTTCCATGATATAGCTGCTCCGCACATAGTGAACACATATCCACTAGTGGAGCTAACATCCTCGTTGTCATTTACCCAGTTTGAATCACAGAACCCCACCACTACTGCTAGAAATCTTATGTAGTCAGGACTCCAGTCCATATATGGTATCTCTTAGATACTGAGACACTCGTTTTAGTGCTTTCTAGTGTCAGTCACTTGGGTTATGTGTATAGCGACTGAATTTGTTTAATTATATGCAAAAACAATGTCAGGTCTAGTAGAACTACTATTTTCACGTTTATTTTGTGGACTATCAACCTGTGTAAATAAGTTAAAGCAAACAAAGCACAGATGATTGTAATTTTTGTTACAGGTGAATATGTATAAAAGTAGTCTTCACCAAATCTTTGTGTGTAGCTTTTAGCTACAAACCTGACATTGGATCTCTTAATAGATCCATCTGGCCCTAATTTTCTTTGAAAATCTATTCGCAATCAATTCCCTTGAGATTTTCACGCTTAACATGAACATTCTCTTTTACTATTATTCCTGGTACCACATAAATACTTATAGGAAAGAAATATAAGGTGTTAAGTACCCCCACAATTCAACACTTACAAATACTTTTCTCAAAGTGCTTGCTCTCTTACTCAGATTGGTCTTTGATGCCCAACATTGGCTCCTTTGTGGACTGAATTTTGCAAATTTGCTTTGCAAAACATTATAGTAACTCCGCACTTAACTATTACATACTCAATAGTTGAATATATTTCAACAAACTTGATTACCTCAAACTAGCATAATTACCCTTTAAATAAGAATCATCAGTCTTCCAAGGTTACTCAATCAAGTTTTTAAATAAAATACACATTGCTAGTAAGCCAAATAAATAATGTTGTTTGCATATACGGTATTTCAAGTTGAATACCATAATCACATATTTCACATAATATTCTTTAGAGAAATTAATCCCCCATCCAAAGAATATATATGGTACTTCATTGTAGCCTTTGATATATGCTTATTATTTTTATACAAGCAAATAATTTTAGAACATGACTCAATTATCTAAATCATTTGACAACAATATATATGCATATATCATATTCAATTTGTGAAAGAACAAGTATGGTAACTGTAACAACCCAAAATTTAATTTCATAAATCCAATTTTAAGAAATTCCAAAATAGTCATTTTCACTCCATTAAAAAATTTTACGATCAATTGGTGTTTGAATAAATCATTTTGAACACATTTTAAATTAATTCAACGCCAAAATTTATTTTTAATCCAAAATTCTAAATTTTCGGGTACTTCGCGTACCAAGTTTTAAATTGAGAAACCAATTTGAGTGAGACCGAGAGGATTCTGAGAAGCCTTAAACAAGTGTTCATCTATAAAACTTTTTAAGAAAATCCCTTTCCAACCCCAAAGTTTTTAAAATAGCATTCTAGCCCTTGGTCCATGAAGCATGGTGGACTACAGACATCCAAAATTTCTTTCCTGATTCATCTTCTAGCCTATGAAAATTACTCCTTTGCCCTCAAGCAATCATTGATGATCAACCTAGGGTTTTGGACCCTATAAAAGCCTCACTATTCCAATGTTGTCTCTTGATCCCATTTCTTTGTCTCTCTTTGAGCTCTCTGTATAAGGAGAAAACAAAACACAGTAAGTTTCTTAGCCACCATTCATCTTCATTCTTATGGTTTTCATCTCTTTGCCTTGAATCCATGAGGTTCCTCCCTTATGTGTTGTTTATATGGTTTGTTTGAGGAGTTTAGGAAGTGAAGGAGGAGCTAGCTAAGTAGAGAGGAAGAGGGGATCCATACAAGAAGAAGAGGCAACAAAGGTATAACCCCATGGACTCCCTCTTTGATCTTTGGCTCTGTGAGGCCTAATATTTTGAGTAGAAATGAGTAGAAATGGTGGATTTTTGTTGTGTTTGAGCTAGGAAGTGATCTAGTATTTGTTTATGATATGATGTTTTGATCATGTTTTGGATGTTTTGGACTTGCTTGAATGTATTTTTGTAGATGAAAAGAATCATCTGGTGCACACACAGTGTGCACCAGAAGAATGTGACGGCTCTAGCTGCGGCCCATTAGGGAGGCCGCCGGCTAGTGCCGTGGCCAACCGGGCCTAGGGCACGGCCCTAGGAGAGGGTCGTTGCCTAGGCCCGACATTGTTACGGCGGCCTTAGGGCGGTGGCTCATGAGGAGCCCCGCCCCTGGTCCCTGAGTATGTTCTGAGTAGGTTCTGTGCAGTGGTCGGGCCCTTGTGGCCCAGCTACGTGTCGTTTCAGGCCAGGCGTCACTAGCCCTTGTGGCTCGGTACCTCGGGGCCGTCCCGAAGCACGTTTTGGCTTTGATTTCGTTGAATTTGGATTAGAAATGAGCATGTTATGATGGATTTGGTGATGATTTTGCTTCACAGTGCTATTTGTTGAATTCACTGTAAATGAATTTTGCTTTGTTCTATCTTCCTGATGTTGTTGAGAAATGATTAGAAAAGCATGTTCAGTTTGAGAATAAGATTATTAGAAAAACATGACTAGAATGTGTTGTTGAATCAATGGAATTTGAAGTATATTTTGATGATAGAAATATATAGAATTTGTTATGTTGCAAGCCTAACATGAGATTGTATTCTTGAGAATTTTATGAATTATATACATGGATTTGGAGCATGTTGTAGAGTATTTTTGCATCTCAAGCATATCATGTTTTATAAGAGCATAAATGGCCAACGTGAGCCTAAGTATTATTTTCCAAAATTCATGAGCATGTGGTATATCATTACCTTGTTGAATTGAGAAGTTGTTGAGATGTGACATGCATAAGTTTGGTGCATGAGAGATATATATATTATCTATATATCAGTGAGGTCTTGGAAGGCCCGTTAGGACTATGTCCTTTCGGAGAGGATGACCGGACATTGCGATCCGACATATTTATCATGTAACGCGGCGTATTCCCATGTTACGAGGTTGGAGACTTCCCGCTAGGCTTGGAATCCTGGTTAGAGGATGTGCACACTAACGGTACGATACCTGATTCCACAAAGAAAACAAGAAAGAAAGATATATCCAAGAGAGTGGTTCTGTGGGCGAGTTGAGTATGTGGCCGGCTAGATTGCCGAGCCGGTTAGGTCCATTCACGATTCGTGAAGACCTACCTCCCCACGAGTTAGAGATTCCGTAGTTACGGATGTGGCGGATGCACGAGATCGCATCGTACGCTAGGGCTTCGCTACGGCGGAGTACCTGCCTCGTACAAGAAGAGAAATAAGAAGTATGAGAAAGTTTGAGCAAGAAAGAAATCGAGTCAAGAGACTCAAGAGAAAGAAAGCGAGTCATTTCAACTCTAAGAAACCTCCACAGAAATGTAATCTATTTTACAAACGAGTGTATGAGTATATTTATAGTATTACACGAGATTGCATTTAAGTATAGTATTGCACGAGATTGCATTTGAGTAGAGCATTTCATGAGATTGCATAATGATAATGATGAATCGAGATTGTATGTCGAGTATGATTGCTTTAGTTACATTTTGAGGTCTTGTATATTCAGTTTGCATGATGAGAACTTGGAAGCATGACGATAGTTTTCGTATTGTTTAATAGTATAAAATTGCTTGTAAGCATGAGTTCGTTACGATGAGATCGTTGTGATATTTATGTGTTGGAATCTTTATGTTGTTAAGTCATTTGTATTGAAGCATGCCTGTTGATATTATAGGTTGCAAGCATATAGAAAGTCTGTGATGTATCTACAGTTGTTTATGTTTTGAGATTGTTTCACTTAGTATGCGAACAAATGTTTTTCCAAATTCTATAGTACTTTACAGGGTTGAGTGTGTTATACTTAGCTTCGTGCTAACGAGTGTTTTCCTATTTGTCTATGTGTTGTTTGTAAAACCCCTTTCAGGTGGGCCCAGCGTTGAGAGGTGATCGAGTTAGACTAGTCTAGTATCTCTAGTAGTTTGAACTCATAGTCTTTTATCATAATGTTATTTGTCAGATTTATAGACTTATGTTGTTTTGATGATGTAGACATCGGGGTGTGTTTTTACCCTTTATGTTTTTAAATTAAGTTTTGCGGATGTTAGTTATTTGTTTTATTTCTAGTTCCATCCTTAGCCTGTGCAATCACCACGGAATGGTGGTTGTGGCGGCGACATTCCCACTAGTTTACTTATTAAGTTGTTTTTTCGCTGTATAGTTTATGTTAATTATGGTTTAGAATTGTAATTATGATTTAGAAAAAGTGGGGTGTTACAATAACTCCCACTAATAAATTAATCATGTGTATAATAAATTTGTGTTCATCAATCATTTAACACATGAACAATTTTCAACCACAATTTCTTGGCTTTTCATCAAAATAAAGAATGTCGATTTGAACAAAAGTTTCAGAGATCCAAACTCCAATTTTTTGCTAAAAATCAAGAGAGCTAGTCATCATAAGCCCTGGTGAGTTCCAATATAATACATACACATATCTACATATTTTTTTTCCCGAATTGTAAGGAACATCATATATTAATATTAAAATTCTAAGCCCAAGAAATACATACTTCTTAATTAATTAGTTATGTATGTGAATGTGCAAACCCAAAATAAATAGAAGATGAGATTTAGGGATGCATGCATGCACGGTTGATACTCAAAAAATAATCACACATTAATATTAAAGTATTATAATACTTGGCTTTATTAAGGAGGAAGCATTAGGCTCATACTTCAGTCCTGCTGCCATCTAGAACAACTCACAGTAGTTTCAACTGGTCAAAATCTCTACCGGTAGCACCAGAACAATTCAGACTCATCAGCAGCAAAGGGTAACCGCCAAGTACAGCTGCAGATTCGGCCAACAGCAAACTGTGCAAGCTTACGCCACCGGCCGAATGACATGAATGTCGAGTTGGTGACACAATTCTTTGTTGCATTGACCTTGAAACCAAACCTTCAACAATTGGCTTCTTCAAGAATGGGAAATGTTGGGAATGACAATGCAATTTGAAGTGGTGGATTCTCCAATCAAACAGCTAGTTTGGGAGTCGTTCTTTTTCCCTCATATTTTACTAAAAAATGTTGTAGTCACTTTACAGTATTACTTTTCATTCTGAAAGCCTAAAAGCCTTTGCATGGAAACGTATGCCACCATCCCCACAATTTCTGCTCTCTACCGCCAAACACAAAATATCTCATTATTCACTATAGAAGCCTAGCGGCATTGTTTCAGCAAGATTTACGCTTTTAACTGTTGTAGAATTTAAACTGTAACGTAACAATGCCAACGTGAAGTCTGGACATGCAAGAATTTGAAATGGATAGGAACAGGACTATGTGCTGTGTTTATAAAACACTACCAAAAGCGTAAATTTTCCGGTGACGGTTCCGGCACGCTTTCTACATGCTATACAAATAAGTGATGTAATTATGCTCAGACAAGAAAAGACGAAGCAATGAATGAACGAAGAAGATGCTGCAATCGTGTATTCCTGTTCGAAGATGGAGACCGAAATTTATAGGTTGGAACGAAATTTGCACTAATTTCGTGGGTATGGATCTGGAACACAACACATATTCACGCACGTCTCAACCATGCACGTTATAGTCCCCCAACCGAAGGTGAACAATTAAAAGGTATGAGATGACAATACTTTGAACCCTAACATCTTTGCATTACTAACATTATAAAATTAAAATAAAATCTTACAGTGTCATATAAATTGAAGCATGCATCTTTGCATTACTATTTACTAACATTATGAAAGTAAAATAAAATTTTACAGTATCATATAAATTGAAGCATGTGAACCATCTCAACTAATTAAAAACCTAATTAAACTTATAATTGGATTACACATTTATATTTATATACTATACATGCTCAACACGCCTCCTCACATGTATGGACAGATTATTTTTTTGAACTCCAAGCAACACATAGATTATTTTTTTTATCGGGTGACGCGTTGGACATGCACCAGGTTACGTATGTAGGATATGTAAACATATATAAATGCGTGTTTGGCGACCAGGTTGGCACGTATGTAGGATGTATAATCTGATCTGAAACAATAATGTGTATACGTGCATGAAAACGATAGCAAAATGTTATCATATCGGTACACGTCAATTCCTTTGACTTTGCATGTCTTATTATCTCTTTTCCTGGGAAGAATTCTTCAAGTTTGAAAATTCCCGTATTAATACATGCAGTTTTTAGTTTTTTTTTTTTTTTTTTTTTTTTTTTTTTTTTTTTTTTTTTTTTTTTTTTTTAGTATGCACAAATCAATTGCGTGCAAAATAGACATTACTAGGTTTTTTATTTTTTTTTATTTATTTTTTATTTTTTTTATTTTTTTTTATTTTTCATACATGTGATAAGAACAAAGACAACCGATCGAATTTGAAAATATATTTACTATTTAGAAAAGAGTTTAATTTATTACTGTCAAACAACTACTTAATTAATTTTAAATAAGATGATTTGGAAGAAGATTAATACAGTACATGTAAGCATAATACGGAGTATATTTTTTTCTAAAATACACAAAATATAAAATATAGACAATCAGATTAAAATTTAGATGTTGGGTGTGAAAGACAGAAAGAGTATTGCTTGCAGCAAAATTAAACCAAAAAGATCACTTATTAATTAGGCAAATAAATCAAATTAATAATTGCGAAAAGGAAGTTCCCACTTTCCTCTATCTTATCTTTTAGTGTTGCTAGTGCACTGTCACATATTGGTGATGATGATGTACGTGTTACTAGTTTAATCATTTCTCTCTTAAGCTTAATTATTACAATTAATAATTAGTCCTTCCTCGTACCTATCTAGCTCGATCAGTTCTAAGCCAGATGATTAATCGCTTCATCATCATCAAATCATCCTTCATTATTTGTATTGGTTCTGCGCTTTTAAAAGGGGTTCCGCCTTCTTGGATTTTCTTCAAAATTATGATCACAATTCAATAATATAATTGACTAGCTGATCAATAATTGTGCTTAATTACGGAGTATATAATTGAAGAATGGTAAATATTTTTAATAAGTTAATACCCAATTTAGTTATCGAGTGATTTTTCTCAATTTAGTCCTAAATAACTCTTTGTGCTTAAGTAGGTCCTCCACTTTGATGCCTTTAAATAATTGAGTCATCTGATAAGATAGCTTGGTAATTTCACCTCTATTAATAGTTTAATGCCTACTTTTGTCCTCGACTATAATAGTTTAATTTTACACAAGTTAGTCTTCGACTATAGTGATTTGTCTCAATTTAGACCTCAACTATAATGATTTTTCTCGATTTAGTCCTTGATTTTAACAACTAAGGACTCAATTAGGTAAAATCATCAAAGTCGAAAATTTAATTAAGCACAAAATTTTAGTGTCAACAAATGCACCCTCGAGACTTGCTTGTACACCACTTGAGAGCAAGTACCACTCGAAAGTATGTAGTGCAAAGAAGTCTCGACACTATTGTTAAACATATAAGGTTGTTTCAACTCGTGCTAATCAGTATCTTGAAGGATATGAGGTTGTTTCAATTAGTACCGAGGAGTCTTGAGGGATATGAGGCAGTTTCAACTCGTGCCAAGAAATCTTGAAGGATATGAGGCAGTTTTGAATCATACCAAGAAGGCTTAAAAGAATGTGAGACAGTTTTAACTCGTGCCAAAAGATTATATTTTAGCTTCCTCCATATCAAATTTCATGAAGGGGTTGCACCCATCATCGGTTGAGAGATATTTACCTATGAAGAGATAGGAGGCAGAGCGGTCCCACTGGGTGTGTTAATTTGTGAACAAAGAAAATTTAATTATATATTAAAATATTAAAATTCAAAATTATGGTTACAAGTAGTATCAATGTGGGTACAAGATCTCTGGATGGTCCTTTGATTCTTCAACTGGATGTCTTGATCACTCCACTGAAGGGCCCCAGAACTCAAGTGGCTTGATCTTCAAAGAAGGACTTATGTAGCTTGTTCTTCATTGAAGGGCCTTCGGACCCAAATGACTTGATCTTCAATGTAGGGTTAAATCCATATGCTTGGACCAAATATATGGATGGAAGCGGATTTTAGAAGCATTATATTTTCAAGATCATTTTATTGTGATCTCTTAATAATATTTTCAAGATTTTTTCAGGATGTTCACATGATTTTTAGGATGAATGAGGGTTCTTATTTATAGTTAGGATAAGAAGAGTTTTGATAAGTTCAATCTCATTTAAATATTCATCCTTAACAAGATAATATTAATATTATCCAAAATATATTCAAATATTTTAATATTCATCATTAACAAAATTTTAGTGTCAACAAATGCCCCATCGAGACTTGTTTGTACGCCACATTGAGAGCATATACCACTCAAAAGTGTGTAGTGCAAGGAAGTCTTGACACTACAGTTAAATATATATAATGTTGTTTCAACTCGTGTCAAAGAGTATCTTTAAGGATATGGGGCCGTTTCAAATCATGCTAAGGAGCCTTGAAAGATATGAGGCCGTTTCAACTCTTGCCAAGGAGTCTTGAAAGATATGACGCAGTTTTGACTAATATAAAGGAGACTTAAAAGAATATGAGGTACTCCACCTGTCCTATTTTACCTGTCCTACTTACTATTCTTTGTTCAAATCAAATCCTTCTTGTTTCCTTATTTTCTTTAGCATTTTTTTAAAATTATTTTTAAATTTAATTTTTTGTGTTTAATGTTACTTTTAATATAGTTTCTAAATATATAAATTTTATATACTAATACTACACTTAACATTATGAAAAATTGAATTAAAAATAACTTCAGCCAAGCCTCGTTAACCGAACTAGACACATAAAATGGGACGGAGATAGTAGTTTTTACACGTGCCAAATGAGTATATTTTAGTTTCCTCCATTTCAAATTTCATGAAGGTTTGCCCCATCATTGGTTGAGAGGTATTTACCTACGAAGAGATGAGATCAGAGATAGAGCAGTCCCAATGGGCGTGCCAATTTGTGAACAAAGAAAACTGAATTATATACTACAATTCAAAATTTTGGTTACAAGTAGTATCAATGTGGGTACCAGACCTCTCGATGGTCCTCTGATTCATAAACTGGATGTCTTGAAAGCTCCATAGAAGGGCTTCCGGAACTCAAGTGGTTTGATAATGTGGGTACCAGGTCTCTCGATGGTCCTCTGATTCATAAACTACTGGATGTCGTGAAAGCTCCATAGAAGGGCCTCTGGAGCTCAAGTGGTTTGATCTTCAAAGAAGGGTTTACGTAGCTTGTTCTTCATTGAAGGTCCTCTGGACACAAATTGTTTGATCTTCAATGGAGAGTTACATCAATATGCTTGGACCGAATATATGGCTGGAAGCGAATTTTAGAAGCATTATATTTTCAAGATCATTTTATTGTGCTCTCTTAATAATAGTTTAAAGATGTTTACATGATCTTTCCAAAATGTTCACATGATTTCTAGGATGAATGAAGATGTTCTACATGAACTTTCCAATATTTTAGTTCGGATAAGAAGAGTTTTAATAAGTTCAATCTAATTTGAATATCCATCCTTAATTAGATAATATTAATAATATCCAAAATATATTCAAATTTTTTAATATTAATCATTATCAAAATTTTGGTGTAAACAAATGCCTCCTCGAGACTTGCTTGTACGCCACATTGAGAGAATATATCACTCGAAAACATGTAGTGCAATGATGTCTCAACACTACTGTTAAAGTTATATAAGGACGTTTCAACTCGTGCTAAAGAGTATCTTGAAGGATATGGGGTTGTTTCAACTCGTGCTAAGGAGCCTTGAGGGATATGAGGTCGTTTCAATTTCTGCCTAGGAGTCTTGAAGGATATGAGGCAGTTTTGACTCATGCCAAATGAGTATATTTTAGCTTCCTCAATTTCATGAAGGGTTTGCCCCCATAATCGGTTGAGACGTATTTACCTATGAAGAGATGACAGGCAGAGCGGTCCCACTGGGCGTGCCAATTTGTGAACAACAAAAATTGAATTATATATTAAAATTCAAAATTTTTGTTACAAGTAATATCAATGTGGGTACAAGATCTCTAGATGGTCATCTGATTCTTCAACTGGATGTCTTGAACACTCCACTAAAGGGCCTCTGGAACTCAAGTGGCTTGATCTTCAAAGAAGGATTTATGTAGCTTGTTCTTCATTGAAGGGCATCCGGACTTAAATGGCTTGATCTTCAATGGAGGGTTGTATCAATATGCTTTGACCAAATATATGGTTGTAAGCGGATTTTAGAAGCATTATATTTTTAGGATCATTTTATTGTGATCTCTTAATCATATTTTCAAGATGTTTTACTTGATTTTTCTAGGATGTTCACATGATTTCTAGGATGAATGAGGGCTCCTATTTATAGGTAGGATCAGTGTTGAAAAAGACACTATGCGCCGATTTTTTTTTTAAAAATTTATTTTGTATTATTTTATTTTAGCCAAGCACCTTGTGCTCATATGGCATGTAGTGACCCTCCCATGTGGGAGTTCATGAGATCGAGCCTCAGTGGAGTCATTGTTGACTCTTTGTGCTTCAGTAGGTGTGCTTCATTAGGTTGAGAAAATATGTTTGAAAAGATATTACAATGTAATAGAGTCAGTAACATTACAAAAAATTATTTTATTTTATTATTTTTAAATTTTTTTAAAAAAAAAAGTTAAAACAAAAGTTCTAATACCTAATTACAAGTCTAAAACATATCTATAAAATTATAATTATTAGTTTAATTTTAAATTATATATAACTTTAAAGAATTACAACATTTACAAGTCAAAACTTAAAAATTAAAAACATTTTCACAAAAAATTCAATACACAAAACCACAACTCACAAATTCACAAGTCACAACTCACAAATTATCAAAGCAAACTTCCAAATCAATTCATCATTTCATCAAATGAATACAAATATACAATACAAAATAACTTAAATACTTAATAATTCATAAAGAAATCACCAAACTTCCCATTTCCAAATCATAGTCCATGACTCCATGCAAACTCCAAAAGTTCAAAATAAAGAAATCATCATATCAATAAAAAAACTCCAAGACATCAAATTCAACTTTCAAAATTTTCTTCTCCATCTCCTTGTCCATATTGATCTATCACACGATTTTCATCATCTTCAAACTCAACAGCCAAATCAACTTCTACTTTACTTTCAGATTCAAAGTTATCTTCTTCAAGCTCCCTCAATTTACAACTTCTTCGTGGTTTTAGTGCTTCATCACGTTTGATGAATAGTATATTAGGCCTGGGCCACATGGACCGGCCTAAGAAAAGTAACTGGATCAAGGAAGCCCAAGAAAGAGACACGATAACGAGCAATTTAGGAGTTTGTCAATGATTGGGCATGTTATTTCCAATATAATTAGAATTGGACTTATTATTTCCAGTATAATAGAATTAGGTCTTATTATGTAACTAAGACTCCCAATATGAGGTAGTCTAGAATTCTTATTTCTTATAGGGCTCTATGCCCAAAATATGTATAAATAGACCCCTCATACATAGAAAAAAGAGGTGATTCTCTCTATTCACGAGTAATATTCATGAATACAAAGTTTCTATATTTTCTCCACATATTTCTCCTATATTTACCCTATATTCTCGTTATTCTAACGATAGTGTTGGCCTGCCGTTGACTGCTCAAAAGTCATAAAACGAACATTGGCACCGTATGTGGGGATCGATACGAAAAGTTTACGTTCATTCCTCAAACCCAAAACACACGATCAAAACCATAATTATGGAGGGCACTCGACGTAACACTCGCGCTGGCTAGACCATTCGGGATCTGTGAAAAACCCTCAATTAGCCTACCTCTCGCATCCTGCCCAACCGGTCAGTTCTCCCAAGGGAAGGTGTCAATCTGGAAAATCCTCGAGAAGAGCCGGAGATTCATCCGAGCACACCTCCACCGGTCGCTGGTGTCCCACAGACCTAGCCGGTTGAACTTCCTCCTACTGTAGTGGAGGCCGCTGAGCACCTCTTGGGAGTCTTACAGCGGATTGCATACTGAGAGGCGAGTCCCCACTAGACCCCCTCGTCAATATCATTCGGATAGAGTAAACAACGGGGATAGACCACCCGAGAGAACGTAGGAATCGAACTCACCCAGAGAACATCGCTACACTGTCTCAATCCTTGACCGCCTAGGACTCTCCAGCCAACAATCCCCACCGCAAGACTAGGACAAGACAATCCAACGCTTGAACAACCGTGACGGAAAACAAGGCTCAACCCCCAACGGTGATCGATAGCTGCTCAGACGGCATGCCTCCGCGCGCGGCAATCGCAAGTGGAGGAGCGTAATAGAGAAAGCTCTCCAGATGGCCTGCTAGAAAGTTGTGGTGAGACCCCGACCTCCAGATAGACACCAAGGGTAGAAAAGACCAGTCAACCACTTTCGGTCTCCGCTGTCCACCAACCCATTTGATAAACATTATTTTTGTTGATATTTTTAATAATCTTTTTATAGTTAATATACAATAATTGATTAATTTTATATCTATTTTTATTTTATTATTGTTATAAGTAGTTTTATTAATATTGTTTAACTTTGAGTTTGTTTTGTTATTAAATTAATAGTTTGTTATCAAAATTTGTCAGTCCAATAATTTTATACTTTAATAATTATAATAATAATAATAATAGTTCTAGTAGTATATGTTCAGTAGGATATTTAATAAAGGTAAACTAATTATATTTGGATTCTAATTTATTTAAGAAAAAGAATATTTAATTCCTTTTTGTGCGGCAAACTAAAGCTGTAACACCCCTAAATTTTAAAACTTTTAACGCTTATGGAATAAAGGCAATTCTATTATCAAATCCTAAGCAGGGCATAAACTAAACATAATTGTTCGGGTGCTATGCCACATCTGAGCTGGAGAACTCAGATGCACAGGCTAAACTATCTAATCATAAGAAATTCCCGATTCAATATCTAATACAATCTCAAGGCACGCAGGCTGATAATAGAACTAATCTAGCTATGTCCACGGGTCCGACTAGCGCACTCTGGAGCTACTCATCTGCGCCTGAAAGCCAAATATATCTGTTCAGCGAATAATGTTGGTAACCCACTCCAACGTGTTAAATACAATATAGGTAGATATATATAAGGAAAAAGCATTTTGAAGCCGGAATACATATATACTTATGAAACTCTAATTTAAAACCGAGAATAGACTCAATCAAGCACGGATAGGAACTTTTAACAGAATTAATCACGCATATAATGATACTAGCATGCACCCTAAGGTCACAAGACTATTTCATATCAATCATATCAGTATTCAATCTCTATTTCAAACACGTAAACACATTTGGTGGTGCCGCAGGACCCTTCACGCGCCCATACACGAAGTGCCAGCACATATAGCTCTGGCATGGCCCCGAAGCACCCTGCCTGTACCGCAGCACAAGGAGTTTGATCGCAACCAATCGATGAACCGCAACTCATTTATAACGTTTGATCGCAACCAAACGGTGAACCGCATCCCGAATAGTATGTATATCTGATTGCAACCAGATTATGGACCGCAGCCCAATATATATATAACCGATCGATCGCAACCAGACGTGTGACACCCCGTAATCCAAATTCAGTTATGGGATTAATTAAGTAATTAATCCTAAACCAATTGGTATTTTAATTCCTAAAAATCCTGAAAATTCAATAGTCGGGGACTAGTAATTGACTAGTCAACCCCAAAGTCAAAGTTATAGCTTGAGCTTTGAGAGGAGTTCCCTTGTTCCCTTACACCTCTTCATTTTAGTAAGGGTATTCATGACTTTTCACTTTGTGTTAGTAAGGCAAGCTAACCTAGTAGACAATCCTCATTTCTCTCCTTACACTTTCCAAACTTTAGCTCTATCTTCTCTCTAAAAAGGTGGATAGCTTTTCTTCCAAGCCAAGTTAAAACTTTGTCAAATCTTTAAGAGTTGTCTCCAAGATTCTACATTTCATACATTTGGGCATCTAGGAGGGTAAGATCTCTGTTCATCTTGTGTTTTTAGTGTTCTCTTAGGTGTCTTTTCTTAAAGATAGAATCTTTATGATCTTTTTGTGTGTTCTTGGAGTGTTGAGTGAAGGTTTTTGTCTACAAGAGGTAACCCATGCTCTACAAAATCTATTTTGCTTACCTATATGATGATTTCTTGGATTCTACATGTGATTTTCCTATGAAATGTGAGTGTTTATGCATTTTCTTGTGAAAATGCATATCTAGATCTTGTGTTTAGGGTTCTTGTATGCCATTGCTTGGCTATTCCTTTGATTCAAGTCATTTTGTTGTATTGGGTTAGATTTGGCATGTTTTGGACTTGAATTTGAGCTTGGTGTTGAAAATCCCCGAAGGGATTATTTTGGGCACAGGTGTGTACCCGCGGGCGGAACAGCGGGCAGTGGCCTACCCGCCACCCACCAGCGGGGAACAGATGGCCGGTGGGTATTGTACCCGCGGGCGGAACCGCGGTTAGGGGCCTACCCGTGGGTCCACCCGCGGGGTACATATGTTCGCTAGGCGGGGATTTGTTCCCCGTGATTCTTTTAACTCGGTATTTGGTCTTTTGACTTCCCGATGTTCTTTTGTGGAACTATTTGAGTGTCTTCTTGGTGTTTCGTATGTTTAGAACTATATGGTAGGAATCCATGTAGGTTTTAGTGTCTTGAATCGTGCAAAGTGTTCAACATTGTGTTTTGTTGAACCGTGATGAGTCTTGTGTGTTCTTCGGAACTACGTTTGGTTTACCCATTTGATAAGTATGCTAGGTCGGTGTTTACATGCTAGCATGTGTGTTGTTTGTACCTTCCTATTTTTGATGATGACTTGTGTTATTCATCGTTGTTGTTGGACTGTGATCCATTCCTTGATTGAGTATGGTTTCATATCTTCGTTGTGATCCGTTGATTGATTCCTATTGAGGTGTGATGTGTGTGTGGCTTTATCTGGATTGCACGATTAGTGGTATGGGACACTAGTCACCAAAGTATTGCAGTGGTCCTCGTGGTGGCTATGACGTGATTATGGAGTTGTGACCTTTGTGTAAGGTTCACGTATTTCTTGGGTGGCATGTGTTGCCGTGTGTGTGATCAGTACCCTCGTGTACTATGAAATCGGGGGTTCTGTTGGAGGGACTGTTGGAGTGGGAACGACGGTTCCCAGAGGAATAAGGTTGGACTTGGTGTACAGGGGTCCTGGAGGTAAAGGTTAGAACTAGACATAAGGTTGGGGGTAGCCATAAGGTTGGAACCGGGCATAAGGAAGGCATATCAACTCGTGATGGGTGATTTCACGAGGGTTTGTGTAACCGTTGCTGTGAGTTCTCTTCTTGTGACGTGTGTTGTCACAAAGGCATGTGTTGCCGTTGGGAGTGTCCTTATTCTTTCGAGTTGTGTATGCCGGGTGTTAATCTATCGTGTGATGATAGATTATACCTTGAGCCGTCCTTGTGCGTTGTTGTTGTCCTTTGTGGTCTTGGGATGTGTTCCCTTATCTTGTTGTGAGTGCTTTGAGTCTTATACTGACCTTTGCTCTTGGTTTTGAACTTATATATATGTATTCCTTTCGCAAATGACTTTACAAATGTATATCTTATCTATGTATGATATTTCACATGTATTGGTGGGTTACCAGGATTATTCGCTGATCGGGCGTCGTCCCATCTTTTATGTGTTTCTTTCAGGTGATGTTTAGATGAGAGCGCGGTATAGTGCCAGCTAGTGTAGCTCCTTTTATGTTTTGTGGCCTGTGAGCCAGTTTAGACTTAGTACTTGAGCATGAGTGGTTTTAGATGTTGAACTATGCAGATATTAGCCTGTGCGTTCATCCCTAGATGAGCGTGGCATAGCACCCCTTAGATTTCCAGTTTATATATTCCTCTTTCAGTCTTCCGCTGAGTTTAATGTTTTGTTTAAGATATCTGCATGTTTAAGGCTTAAAATAGCTTGGAAAATTAGGGGGTGTTACAGTTGGTATAAGAGCCTAGGTTTGAGCCTAGGATGGTAGAGTCTAGACTTCTAACTGGCTAAGTGTGGTTTGAGACCTTAAAGTGACCTTAAGAATCTAAGTGTTAGGCTTTGGACTCTAGGTTGCGCGGTGAGCTGAGTGTTGCTTTCAGTTATGTGATTGTTTGTTGTCTTTTTGGTAACTGTGTCGTTGTTGTAGAAGTTTGCGATGCCTCCTTATCTGCGAGCGTGTACCCCGGAGACCCCGACGAATGACCAGCTTGCCCAGAACCTTCAGCAGTTGACGCAGACGATGCAGAACCTCAGTGAGGCCTTGTTGTAGAACAACCATCCCGTGCCGCCTCCTCAAGCTGCTGGGCACAGGGAAATGAGTCGTTTGGTGTCAGGTCACAGGCCGCCGACCTTCGCGGGTGAAGAAGATCTGGTTGTTTTAGAGGAATGGATGAGAGTGTTCGACAAGATCTTCGCGGTTGTGGGTTGTCCCGAGGAGAGAAGAGTAGAACTGACAACATTCTACTTCTGTCATGAGGCTGATCTGTGGTGGATTCATGAGGGTTCGACCTTCCTTGAGGAACCTGAGTTCGATTGGTCCGCGCTTAAGGATAGGATGCGCGAGAGGTTTTACTCGGCACATGTGCGAGCCGCCATGTACGAGGAGTTCCTCCACCTGCAGCAAGGATCTCTGTCTGTGGTCGAGTACCACAAGAAGTTTTTGGAGTTGGCGCGCTTCGCTCGGATGCTCGTGCCTACAGAGCTCTCTAAGGTCGAGAAATTCGTTGCCGGCTTGAATTATGAGGCACGAAAGGCTTTGACTGTGAGCAGGCCGAGTTCCCTCAAGGATGCTTATCTAAGTGCCGCGGATCTGTATCGTGTTCAGCAGCTTTAGCGAGGATCTTATGAGCTTGCTAGGAAGAGGACCGAGAGCGGAGGTTCTTCCACCTTCAAGAAGCCTCGACCGAGTTTTCAAGCTAAGAATGTCTCATCTTCAACCCAAGGACCCAACCGGATGGAGCAAGGGAATCAAGTCAAGGCGCCTTCTTGTCATCGATGTGGAAAGGTTCATGCCGGTCAGAGTTGCAATGATTTCGCGTTGCGATGCTTTCGTTGCGGAGATAGGGGCCACAAAGTTGCCGAGTGCCCTCACCAGGCCAATCAAAGGGCGTTGCCGCCACCCCCTGGAGCCAGAGGAACAGCGGGAGGTAGCTCGAGCCGCGAAGCAGCTGGGGCCAGGTCATCGGGGAGAGTCATCGTGATGGGGCGTTCGCAGGCGGAGACCGAGGGCTTAGTGGAGGAGGAGCTAGCAGGTAATCCTTTTCTAGCCTACCCTTGTCTTTAGAACGCATCTTGTTCCTTGTTTGCCTTGTGTTTCTTCATTGTCTACTTGAGTTACTTTCCTATTCTTAACATGTTGTTTCCTTGATATTGATTCTTTTGGAATTAGGTGTAAGTCTTTCTTAATAAATGATTCTCTTTGTTTTATGAGTAAGCCTCGTGATGGAGTTAGTTATCCATTCTTAGAACGAGTCATGCTTGGGTTAATTTTTATAACCTTTGCACTTGGATATTCCTGCAACCTTTCTTTTTGAGAACCACCTAAATTTCTCCAAGTATTCTTTGAACTTGGGAATAGAAAACCCATACCAAAATTCTATCTTGTGTAGCTTAAAAGTCAAGTAAAATGCTTATTTGTAAGCCTTAAGTTTCAAACCCAAGTATACTCTTTGCCAATCCAATTCCTAAACCAATTAAGCTAATTATCTTTCTTGAAACCTACCGAATTTCAATTCTAACTAAACCAATAAATTTCCACTTTACCCAAATCCCCAAATTAAATCATCTTTTCCCCAATTTTTCCCAAAAATCCCTAAATTCCCAATTCTTTCTTTCTCTTCCCTTCCCACTTGTGTGCAGCCGAGAACCCACCTCCCAACCCGTCACCTCACTTGAGACCCGTCGACGCACCACCACTGTCCACCAGTTTAGCCGCGGCCGGAGCTTCGCTGCCGCTGGGCCGTCGCGACGTCGAGAGGGAGAAAGTGCAGCGAGAGAGGGAGAGCGGGCAGCGAGAAGAAGGAGAAGAAGAGGAAAGTTGTGGGCTTCTTTTGTTGAGCTTTGGGTCATCTCCTACCATGCCTAGAAGGTCAAGTTTGGCTAGGAAAGCGGAATGGGTGGATGCCCATTACCTCGTTCTTGAAGGTAAAGCCTTTGACCCGGAATCTTTTCCTAACTCCTTGTTGGATATGCTTAGATTCCAAGGTTTGTTGGATGGGTTTCTCGCCATAAGGGCCGAGACTTACCCGAGTTTGGTCAAGGAATTTTATCGTCACATGGTTGTGACCAAGGATGGTGATAAGCTTGAGATCACTTCTAAAGTGAGAGGCGTGAAGGTAGTTCTGTCTGAAAAGAGGCTGGCTCAGCTTTTGACTTTATCTGCTTCGGGAGTTGCTCAGTACAGTGGTAACTCATGGATTAGTACGAATACCATGGGGTACCGGGTCTATTTGAGTTATTTTTTGGGTCGCACGAGTGGTTTCACTCAAGCTTCAAGACCGGAGAAAAAGTGGTTGTCCGCGGAGCAAAGGATTTTGGTTATGCTGGTATCGGACTGTTTGTTACCCAATAACAACAAAAGTAAGTTGTTGGGAAAGTTGGAGTGCACCTTTGCCTTTTGCCTTAAGAACATGGTCAAGTTCAATCTGCCAGCTTTAATGTTGCAACATATGGTTTTCTGCTGTGATCATAACCGAAAGAGCTTACCGTATGGGATGGTGTTGAGCTGGATCCTTGTTAGGAAAGGTGTAAGTGTTGATGGTTGTGTACCGAAGGCCGTGGGAAAGTTGGTGTTGGATGCCACCAATCTTCGAAGTTGCAACTTGTTTCAGTTGGACGATGGTGACTACATCACTCTCGAAGAAGTTGCAAGGAAATCCCCCGAAGAAAGAGCCGAGTTGGCAGTCGAGCTTGGGATTCATGCCGGGAAGTTGAACCTCGCAGTCCAGAGTTTGGGCGACGGTGAAGAAGATGAGGGTGAAGCAGACCGTGAGGAGGAAGTGGAAGCACCGGAAGCTGCCAAGGCCGAAGAAAGTGATTCTGAAAGTGAAGAAAATCGAAGAAGAAAGGAAGTTCGCACCAAAAGGGAGCATGATGCCATGACTCATGAGGAACGTGTAGTCACCTTGCTTCGTCAACAGAATCGCATGATCGAGGAAGGCTTCGCTTTCATGAAGACGCAGTTTGTCGCCGTGCACCAAAGGCTAGATCAGATTGAGGCCAGTTCAAGCCTAGAGGTGGGGATGATGAAGAATCCGAGGAGAGCACCAATGAGTCGGAGAGCGAGTCGTTTTAGCTCGGTGTTGTGGTGAGCTTGTTTGCCCTTCTTAGTGTTGTTATCTTCTTAGTTGTTGTTACCGTTGGTAGTCGCTTGTTGTTTGCTTTGTGTGCTTGCTCTTGCTTGTTTGTTTTGTGAGTAGCTAGTTTTGTGGTTAGTGCTTTGAAATATTTGTTAGTTCGTGGTTGTTGGCTAGAAGTTGGTGGTTGTGTTTGGTTTAGAGTTTGATATGCTCAATTTATCCGTTGGCTAAAATTTCCTTAAATTTTTGTTTTGGTATACCTTCTTTCGTGCTTTGAATCTTTGTGTATCCTTTTGGGTTTTGACCAAAAGAGATTGTTCTTGGCATTCTTGTCACATAGTTGTTTCGTATCACTGTTTGTCTTAATTCGTCGTACCCAAGCTTCGGGGACGAAGCTTCTTTGAAGGGGGAGAGGATGTGACACCCCGTAATCCAAATTCAATTATGGGATTAATTAAGTAATTAATCCTAAACCAATTGGTATTTTAATTCCTAAAAATCCTAAAAATTCAATAGTCGGGGACTAGTAATTGACTAGTCAACCCCAAAGTCAAAGTTGTACCTTGAGCTCTGAGAAGAGTTCCCTTGTTCCTTTACACCTTTTCATTTTAGTAAGGGTATTCATGACTTTTCACTTTGTGTTAGTAAGGCAAGCTAACCTAGTAGACAATCTTCATTTCTCTCCTTACACTTTCCAAACTTTAGCTCTATCTTCTCTCTAAAAAGGTAGATAGCTTTTCTTCCAAGCCAAGTTGAAGCTTTGTCAAATCTTCAAGAGTTGTCTCCAAGATTCTACCTTTCATACATTTGGGCATCTAAGATGGTAAGATCTATGTTCATCTTGTGTTATTAGTGTTTTCTTAGGTGTTTTTTCTTAAAGATAGAATCTTTATGATCTTTTTGTGTGTTCTTGAACCTTGCTAAAAAACCGATCCTTCTTTCCCAACCACACATTGCCTAACCAAAAATACGATTCGGGCGGATTATTCCCCCAACTAGGAAATAAAAGGAAGAGATCTTGGCGGAATTTCCACATATGAAATTGAGTACAATTTTGCAACGAGATAGCCCCCTTGTTTCTCGAGAAGAGATGGGAAACATGCTCATGTTGTTTGAAGAAAATCCCCGCTTCAATTGGTCTTTTTTCACGAAAAGCAGACATAAGATAAGAAATCCAGTCTTTCGCTAATCTTTCCAATAAAATAGGATCAGCCAATTTCCAATCATGGTCCTTGTGGGTCGAATCATCATCCATATAATATACAAAAAGAAACTCCAGAGATTTGCTATCTTTCTCTTTGAATAAGATCTCAATTTCGGCGACGGTTTCATTAGATATCTTACAACTAGAATTCCTCTTTGTTATTGAGAGAACCCCAGTACTCTCTTTCCGATTCAGGAAAGAACTCTCAGAGATCTTTTTTCCTTTTGGAAGATACAGGAGCGAAACAATCAACCTATTGATATTGGAAGACCCAACAGCTTCTTCCAATCGATCATTTCTGGGTCCAGTGGAATTCATAGATATAGGAAGAAACCCTGTCAAATATACGTTTTTTCTTTCGACCATATTTCGATTGTTAATACGATATATAAGTACCGCTACTACAAAGAGTATTACTCCCCTGATCGTGAAAGATCGATTGCTTGTTGAACCCTGGAAATTGCGTGAGTTTGGAAGGTGAGCCTTATTAGGAGCTTGGTGGAGTGTTGAGTGAAGGTTTTTGTCTACAAGAGGTAACCCATGTTCTACAAAATCTATTTTGCTTACCTATATGATGATTTCTTGGATTCTACATGTGATTTTGCTATGAAATGTGAGTGTTTAGCATTGTCTTGTGAAAATGCATATCTAGATCTTGTGTTTAGGGTTCTTGTATGTCATTGCTTGGCTATTCCTTTGATTCAAGTCATTTTGTTGTATTGGGTGAGATTTGACATGTTATGGACTTGAATTTGAGCTTGATGTTGAAAATCCCCGAAGGGATTATTTTGGGCACAGGTGTGTACCCGCGGGCGGAATGGCGGGCAGTGGCTTACCCGCCGCCCACCCGCGGGGAACAGATGTCCGGTGGGTATTGTACCCGCGGGCGGAACCGCGGTTAGGGGCCTACCCGTGGGCCCACCCGCGGGGTACATATGTTCGCTTGGCGGGGATTTGTTCCCCGTGATTCTTTTGACTCGGTATTTGGTCTTTTGACTTCCCGATGTTCTTTTGTGGAACTATTTGAGTGTCTTCTTGGTGTTTCGTATGTCTAGAACTATATGGTAGGAATCCATGTAGGTTTTGGTGTCTTGAATGGTGCTAAGTGTTCAACATTGTGTTTCGTTGAACCGTGATGAGTCTTGTGTGTTCTTCGGAACTACGTTTGGTTTACCCGTTTGATTAGCATGCTAGTTCGGTGTTTAAATGCTAGCATGTGTGTTGTTTGTACCTTCTTATTGTTGATGATGACTTGTGTTATTCATCGTTGTTGTTGGACTGTGATCCATTCCTTAATTGAGTATGGTTTCATATCTTCGTTGTGATCCGTTGATTGATTCCTATTGAGGTGTGATGTGTGTGTGGCTTTACCTGGATTGCACGATTAGTGGTATGGGACACTAGTCAACAAGGTATTGCAGTGGTCCTCGTGGTGGCCATGACGTGATTATGTAGTTGTGACCTTTGTGTAAGGTTCATGTATTTCTTGGGTTGCATGTGTTGCCGTGTGTGTGATCAGTACCCTCATGTACAATGAAATCGGTGGTTCTGTTGGAGGGACTGTTGGAGGGGGAACGACGGTTCCCGGAAGAATGAGGTTGGACTTGGTGTACAGGGGTCCTGGAGGTAAAGGTTGGAACTAGACATAAGGTTGGGGGTAGCCATAAGGTTGGAACCGGGCATAAGGAAGACATATTAACTTGTGATGGGTGATGTCACGAGGGCTTGTGTAGCCATTGCTGTGAGTTCTCTTCTTGTGACGTGTGTAGTCACAAAGGCATGTGTTGCCGTTGGGTGTGTCCTTATTCTTTCGAGTTGTGTATGCCGGGTGTTAATCTATTGTGTGATGATAGATTATACCTTGAGCAGTCCTTGTGAGTTGCTGTTGTCCTTTGTGGTCTTGGGATGTGTTGCCTAATCTTGTTGTGAGTGCTTTGAGTCTTATGTTGACCTTTTCTCTTGGTTTTGAACTTATATATATGTATTCCGTTTCGCAAATGACTTTACAAATGTATATCTTATCTTTGTATGATTTTTCACATGTATTGGTGGGTTACCAGCATTATTCGCTGATCGGGCGTCGTCCCATCTTTTATGTGTTTCTTTCAGGTGATGTTTAGACGAGAGCGCGGTATAGTGCCAGCTAGTGTAGCTCCTTTTTTATGTTTTGTGGCCTGTGAGCCAGTTTTGACTTAGTACTTGAGCATGTGTGGTTTTAGATGTTGAACTATGCAGATATTAGTATGTGCGTTCATCCCTGGATGAGCGTGGCATAGCACCCCTTTGATTTCCAGTTTATATATTCCTCTTTCAGTTTTCCGCTGAGTTTAATGTTTTGTTTAAGATATCTGCATGTTTAAGGCTTAAAATAGCTTGGAAAATTAGGGGATGTTACAGATCGGGTTAACAGCCGATGGTTCTCAACCCATCCAACTGCCTGTATAGTCAATTGATCGCAACCAATTGGGGAATCATGCACAAATAACACATAGTCAAGCACATGCAACCCACATTAGCACATAAGGAGGGGGAAATCATACATATATATGTTATGCGTGGTCAACCACATTACTAGAGATAAGCCTAAGGGATTCATGCACCTTTCTCCTAGGCCAAAGGGATACCAGTTCGACTAGCATGCAATACACAAGACCCTTTTATCCTACGAACGGTACCCGATACATTAAACTAGACTCAAGCACGACAAACAGGGTCTAATGGGACACCACGGGACACGGGGAAACATCAAACAGGGAAAACCACCATGTTCCACACCGGAATTCCAGCGGATGGCCGGCGGGTAGGTGGCGGGTACCCCTACCCCCACCCACCCCCCACTGACTCTTATGTAATAACTCGGTCCCGGGATCCCTCGTGGAACCCGAAATCAAGTCCAGACACATTTAAACACAACAATGACACCACGTAATCAAGTAATGGATTAAAACCAAAAATCACATTAAATACATCCTAACCCGACTTCAAAACATGCCAAGACACAATACCCGATCATGCAAAATCCCACCCAAACATACCAAGAATACCACAATACGAAATCCGCATTTTAACCCTAGGGCTCTAGTCATAATTAAAACATAAGATCATTTATATAATTTATCTTAGAATCAAGAACATCAAGATTATCACATAAGTATCAAGATCAACACAAACATCAAGATCATCACATAAACATCAAGATTATCTCATAATCATCATATCAATCTCAGGAAAAGCTTTATCAAGACGCAAACACAGAATCACATATCAAAGGAGCCAAAGAAGGAGATTATAGCAAGGAAAATAGATTTTGTTGAGACATGGGTTACCTCTTAGCCTTAA